GATATATATTTCCGCAAATAAATTCAGTTAATTATAGTTGCACGAGCGTGTGGATAGAAGTAAGGGTGAATTCATCCACATGCTCGTGCGCATCTTTCGAGATCTCCTTATTTAAATATGAATCCGATGAAAAAGTTATTTGAACAGTTATATTAACTATAATTTGTTTAGATGTTATATGCTAAAATTCAAGGTTCAGAACCAATTTTACTTGATCAAACACAATTAACAGATGAAAGTATGTCATATATATATAATTTAATTGTAAAATAATTCATTTTTCGTTATATTTAATATAGTGATTGCACTTAGTGATGATAATTCCAGTTCATATGTTGAAGAAATTAAAAGACGACGATATACCAAAGAATTCCATTCATTTGTTAAAAATTGTGTATCTACATCACTTGAATCTCGGTAAGAAGAAGAAGAATAAATTAAATAGATTGAATATTTATCTATTTATTTAAGACATTCGGTTGATGAATTAATAATGCATCCATTTGTTAAACATCCTAAAAAAATCAGTCATGATTCTCAACATCTTGCTGATGATATGGCTAAAATTCTTGGATTTTATAAAGCAAAAGAATTAAATAATACAGAAGCAAATATCGAACAAATATTTGGTAATAAAAAACAAAAAACATAGAAAATTCAAATTAATTTATTTTTATTTTTTATTTTTCTAGATAATTCCAATAAGAAATATAATAGTATTAATTTATCATGGGAATTTTAATAGGATTATTTCGTAGTTTTAAATAAATAGTAAAATGCATGTTCCTCTAAAGTTTATTTCGTCTTTTCTGTTATTGTATGTTTACTTCAACAAAATTGTAGAAAAATTAGTTGTTTAATGTATTGCTTTTTACTATTTGAATATAGATATATAAATATATGATGATGATGTTGATGATTTGTATTTTAGATTTAAGAATATTTTTATAATGGCAACATTACTAAATGTTCATCGAGTAAAATATCAATGTAGTTGTGGATCATTTAAGTCATTATGTTATCTATATTTTTGTCGGCATTGTTTGAAAATAAAATGTAAAGATTGTGTTATACTTGAGGTAATTCTATTACTTAAATAAAATATCGAGAAGTATTCTAATTAGCAAAGTGATTTATCTAGAGGGAGGGCAAGGGTGGCGGCGCCCTCCCGGAGACCGATTTTGCCCTCCCGAAAATTGCAATTTTGTGCATATACTGTGTATTTTCCCTCCAGAAATTAGATTTTCGCCCTCCCGGAAATCGCTATCGCACTCTCGGAAGGAAAAATCTAGATAAAACACTGAACATATAGCATCAATCTATGTATTGAAAGGTTTTATGAACAAATAATTGAATATAAAATTCTATTAAGATTAATGAATTCGAAATTGAGAGGTTTTGTTGACTCAAACTTTGGAAGCGGAATCATACCCTCCTCTGGTTCACGACAGTTCTACCTAGGTCGTCAATATTCTACCATAGTTCAGGCCAGAATATTCAACCGAAACTCAAACTTTTGGGAGAGGGTTCGCGACAGTCCTGTTTATCATAGAATCAATTCTGTTGATGTTGTATCTCTTTTGATTAGTTACTATGCATACAACCAAATACCAAAATTTTGTATTTTTCTAAGTTTACAGTTGATCTAACTCTTGAACTCGAAATATTAGTGTTTTAAAATCCTTTGCTTTAGTATTAGTTGAAAACTTAATTATATTGAATTTTAATAAAATATCTTTCTAGGTCGATTGTCGCTTTTGTCCAAGTTGTTATGAACATCTTCAATCTCATGAAGCGATAACACGAAAAAATCGTTGTCAAAGTTGTTTCTCATGTCCATGTTGTAATCATACATTAGTAACACGTGCAACAAATACAACAGCAGCTGCATCACCCAGTTTGAATATAACACCTGATAGTACAACTACTGCTAGTCTTGATGTTGATGATACTATTAGTAGTAGTACTAATGTTAGTGGATTACAAACTCCATCAAAAAAAGTTTATTATTTAGCATGTAGTGTTTGTCGATGGTCAACACGAGATATTCGTCTTGTTGATCAGCCAACATTAAATTCATGGAAAGCACAAGATAATATACATGAAGGAAGATTTAATGAACTTCTTCAACATTATAAACAAATAGCTACACGTGAAAAACAAGAACGTGACAGAAAAAGATATTCAACTGTTAAATTACGTACAACAATGCCAACTACAGCCAATCGATCAACATCATCATCTGATAAATATGGTTTATTAGCACCATTAACTCGTCGTGGTATTCGTACAAGTGGAATTCTTAAAACTCCATCATTAACTGAATCAACAAATCCAGCAAATCCATCACCAAAATCTGCTGAAACAATCGAACAAATCGAAGCACTTGATGAAAATTTATTTTTAAATGATTCATTTGATTTTAATAAATTAACAACAATAACTCAACGATTAAATTCAGTTGAAATTCAACCATTAACAATTGATCGTCTTTATCCATTAGCAAAAAATTTTACATCAAAACAATCGAAACGTTGTAAAGAATGTGATCATAATGTACTTAAACCAGAACCATCACCAAAATTAATTAAATTTAAATTACATCAAATGGCACTTTTTTTTATTCCTGAAGTAAGTCTATATGTACGGTCAAGTTAAGTGAGCGCCAAATTCGAAGTTTACGAGTTTCAAGTTTTCGATAACTTCCAGCTTGTAGCGGCGCCAAGGGTGGGCTGAGCTCACCCTGAAATATTTTTCAGATCTTAGAAAACCAATAATATTTTATCTGAGCTCACCCTCTTTAAAATTCATTACGCCTCAGCCCATCATAGTCTAAATTGCTGGCGCCGCTGCTACTTGTAACGATGTGCTTTTTTTCTTGAGCATCACCAGTCGACCAACCACAGTCCAGAGTATCTGTTGGAGCAATCAAAAACAGATGATTATAGTGTTCAAGTAGAGTTTTTCGCGAAAATTGAGACATTCGTAAACTCCAAATTTGAAGCGTACTTAACTTGACCCATATTAGCGGCGGATTCAGGAGTGGGCAATGGAAGCGGTCGTCCCCCTTCAGAATTTTTTTTTTATTTTTTACAGCAAAAATGAACAAAAAGATAGGTTCACAGTGCTTCGTTTTGGCTCAAAAACAGTTTTTAGCCGAAGCCGGCCCTGTCTATTCAGGAATCGCCCCTCCCTTTCAAAATCCTAGATCCACCACTGACCCATATGCCCATCTAGAATATTTCAATTGAGTTAAAATATTCTCATACGATTAAATATGAAAATATTCTTTTCGTAATATTTAGATACGTATTTGGTATCATCCAACATGGTCATTAAATGATAATAATTCATGTATCCTTTCGATTATAAATCAACTTGATGAACAAACCACATTGAAAATTTATACATTAGATGAAATTCGTGAAGAAAATACTGATAAAGAATTAATTGAACGAATAAATCAATTCGATGAAAATATTTTAACAAGTAAATTAATATTTCCATTAGAAAAAGAACGTTCAGTTCAATTACATGCTCATGTTGAACCAAATGAAACTGATACAAAAATTGATGATGAATTACGTCAGAATGATTCGAAAGATTTAGTTATTTATCGAAAATTTGCTAAAATAGCTATTCGATGTTTTATTAAAATAAAATCCAACAATGTCAAAACAGTTTTAGTTAGTTTTTTTTTCTATCAAAAACTAACAATCATATTCTCTTTCATTTAGAGCGCATTTATAATTGAACATCGTGTTGTTGGTATATCACCAATAGTTAGTACACCAACACCAACAGGTCCTAATCCAATATCACAAAATGTTCGACATATTGTTTTTATTGATTTTGGTTCGATTGATGAATCAGCACTTCCTTTACACTCAGCATTAACATAAACTAAATTTTGCTTACGGTTCTTTTTTTTAACGGTGCAATGAATCTTTTTTCTTTCTTTTTACTGGTGGTTCGTTTTTTTTTAATGTACTTAAAAAGTGAGGAATAAAAAGGAATGGATTTAGGGTATATACACATATACTCACTTGTTTTTATTGTTTATCATAGAAATAATATTATGAGAATAGATATTATAATATTTCTCTTGATTATTAAACAATGTTTATCAATGAATTCTTATCATATTCAATTGGATGATGTTGATTTGAACTCATGTGTTGAAAATAAAAATGTATTTAATATTCTTTCATTCAATCTTTGGTCAGATTATTTGGAAATGCCTGGTTATCTTGATGCTTCATTATCATTTCGTTTAACTCAAAATTATTCTACTGTACATTCAACTTATTCAATTCAATTTGAACGGAAAATTGGTCCTCTATGGATAAATATTCCTTGTATAACGGATTCATGTTCTGGACAATCATTATGTATACTTATTCAAAATTCCTGTGGTTCAATTAAATCTTGTAATAAAAATTGTCAATTATCAACTGGTAGTCATACATTAGAACATATTCGATTACCATTAAAAAATTCTTTTTTTGAACATAAAATATTCACAAAGGGACAATATAAATTTAAAATTCAAATTTATGATAATGCAAATACAATAGTAGGCTGTTTTACTGGCTATATAACACTTAAAAAGAACGAATAACTAATGTAGAAATACGAGAAAAAAAAATTTCTTTGTTGTTACTGTTGTTATTTTTTCAATGGAATATGTATTAATGATTTCATAATTGGTAATAATTCATTCACTTGAACAGGTGTTAATACATTAAATAAATTACTTGCCATATATCCATGCAGAGTTTGCCATGACATAAAATGCATAACAAGTTTATTAAATATACGAATACCTTCTCCATATCCACAGGTTGCTTCTAAATATTTCCATAAAAGTTCTGTATAAAAATTTTGTGCACGATATACAGTTATACCATCATTAAGAATAGGTTCAGATGAAGCAGTATTCGTTGAAAATCCTTTAGTTAGAATAAGTATAATAAGTGCTAATTGCATTATTCGTTGATCATTTTGAGTAATACTTGCAAATGATTCAAAAATTTTTTTACAACGTTCATAAATATCATCACCATGAACTTTTGATAATATGGATGTATCCCAAGGAGCATCAACGTCTGCTTCTCTAATTGTTGCAGTTTCTGTATTATATGAGAGTGTATAATTTAACATGGTAAGCGGCATTAGATTATATTTTATTAATGTAATTCGATCTTGAACATTTATTTCATTAAATTCAGGTACTTGTTTGAAGAAAGATATAAGTCTTAAAGCTGATACTGATCGGGAATTCACCTGTTCTAAGACAGTAGTCGCATATGATGATGGATCCCACGGAAGGCCATCACGAGCCGCTAAATAAAAATAATTGTTAATTAATAAAAAATTTCATAAAAATCTTCCTGAAGTTGAAATTATTAAATGAGATATTTTAAGAATTTAAATAACTAAGAAAACATCGAATTAATGATGCGAATAAAAATAATAAATAAACTAGATGCTAGAATATTATGGTAGATTCTCCTGAGTGAATTACGTTTCGTACCACTCTTTCTGGACATCGGACTGCATGTTCGAGTGTTTGTACATGAACTTTGTTTTTTAAAGATTTATGACGAAAGTTCGAAAGTATTTTCCCCAGAGATTGCTAAAGAAAGAGCAAGAGAAATCCAAAAGATGTGGATGAGATAATCACAGTAATTTCGCTCACACTCACCCTCAAGATATTTTTTGAAATATACTAACCGAATTCAATACGTTGTTCATATGAGAGTTTAATAGTTTCTACCCGTTGTAAATCTTCCGGACTAAGCGGTGTTCGTGGTTCCAATGATGATTCATTTCGTAAAAGATCAGTAACATCTTTAGTAAAAAGAAGATTTGTATTTTCCAATGTTGCCACCTAAAAATACACCATTTTTTCTTCTTTCTCGAAAAAAATAATACTTACATGAGCACAATCTACAGTTTTTAATAGTTGAGGTTGTTCTTCCTTTATTTCCTGGTCAATTTTTGAAGATAATTTTTGAGGTTTTTCTTCCACTATTTCCTGATCAGTTTTTGAAAATAATTTTTGAGGTTTTTCTTCGATTATTTCCGGATCAATTTTTACAGATAGTTTATCATTATTGCTATTTATTTTTAATGTTGAATTTCGATTTTCTTCAATTTGACGAAGTTTAATTGCTTTTTGTTCAGACTAAATAAAAAAATTTTGAAACTAATATTTTATTCAACTTTTTTATTTAATAATTACTGTTAAAAGTCGATCACGTGTCATTCCATTTTTTAAACATTTTTGTAATCGACATCCTGCACAACGACGACGTGATTCCAATGTAACATCACAATCACTAGATCGACGACATTCAAATGTTTTCTA